TCCTGGTGGGCAGTGAAGCCTCAGGCACTGCACCTGCAGCCTCTCTTCTCTCTTCAGTGTGCTACATGGGACTTGAACACATAGCCAGAGCGTTCAGTGACTTGCCAAGCTGGACAGCCTGAGCTCCATCCCCTGTACTCAAATGCCGGATGTAGAGAACTAATTCCTCCGAGTTGTTCTTTAACCACAAGCTGTACACACGTGCAATGAAGAAACATAACATAGAAAAACAAACCTGGCTGAATAGGTGGCTCAGCGGTTAAGAGCGCTGGCTGCTCTTCCAGAGGACCCGGGTTCAATTCCCATCACCCACATGGCAGCTCACAGCTGTCTGTAACTCCAGTCCCAGAGGATCTGACACCCTCGCACCAATACACCCATACAGGGGCTGGTTCCCTCCCTCTCTCTGTATTTGCTCTCTCCATGTATGCGCATGCTCTTTCTCTCTCTCTTCCCCTGCCTGTCTCCTAGAAGAGCTATGGCGACTTCCCTGGCCTCTTTCCTTGGGACGAGTCTAGAGCTGCACCCAATAAACCTGCCTTTATGCACTTCATTTCATCAGCGGAGGAAACCTACTACATATAAAATTGAAATTGAAAACAAACTGCGTTGGGTTGGCGAGGTGGGTCCGCGGTGGGTGGGTAACTTGACACTCGAGCTGTATCACATTCCTACAGTACCTGTAGTTGCCAGCAGACGGCGCTGAATCCCCTGGAGCTGGAGTTGCAGATGGTTGTGCAGATGGTACTGGGAATTGAACCCCTGTCCTCTAGAAGAGCAGTCAGCGCTCCTAACCACTGAGCCACTTCTCTGACACCTTTAAGTGTATTTTAGTTACATTTACTGCAGTGACCAATCTGGATTATTCATCTTTTGATATGTATCATTTTCCTGCCTCCCTTGACCAAATTAGAATGCAGCTTAGATTTTCAAATTTAAAGTTGATACTAACGTTAAAAGAAAAAAGAAAGAAACTAGGTACAGTGGTGTATGCCTTGAATCCCAGCACTCAGGCAGAGGCAGGTGAATCTCTGAATTCAAGGCCAGCCTAGTCTACAAAGTGAATTCTAAGAGAGCCAGGACTATACAGAGAAACCCTGTTTTGAAAAACAACAAGAAAGAAGCCAGCAATTTCTAGGTTGCTTTTTATCAGGGTGTTTTGTCGCAGCATCAGAAATGAAACTAGGGCATAAGGAAAGGACAAGGAACATGGGAAAACCCCCACAGCTGATTACGTCTGCATCACATTTTGGGTTTCTCATAGTTTGTCCATCCTCTGCAATAAGCTTTACCTCAGTCCCAACATCCAGTCCCTCCAGTCCGTGTCCTTCCTCTCTCTCCATCTTCCTGTGTTTCTTTCTTCCTTCTATTATTATTATTTTTTTTTTTTGAGACAGAGACAGAGTTCTTCTGTGTAGTCCTGGCTGTCCTGGAACTCACTCTGAAGACTAGGCTGGCCTCGAGACTCAGACCTCTGCCTGCCTCTGTGTCCAGAGTGCTGGGGTAAATAGTCTGTGCCACCTCTGGTTGGCTAATTAAATTTAGATCAGGTCTTTCTAAATAGATACCCTAACAGACATAGAAGTCCACACTGTCAAAGCTGTAAAAGGGCTGGCTTGAGTGTGAAGCCCTTATGCAAAGTGTAACACGAACCACACACCCAGGGGCTCTTCTTTCCATTCTATTGTACATACTCTCCTCTTTACCACAGTGCCGAGTCAAAGCCGCCGGGACAGCCTTAGGAAATCCCTGCTACCCTATGGTGATGCGAGCCTGTCCTGGACAGAGATGGACTACTGACTTCAAGGCAAGCTGAGTGCCACTGACCAGGAGATAGCGCCCTGCTGTGGGAAGGAGACCAAGGCCATCAGAGGAAGAGAGGGATGGAAAGGTAGGAAGACACCAGGCTCCAGCACCTGGTTCTGGAGGGAGCCTGCGGCAAACCCAGCCTGAGAAGCCTAAGACGCTGGGCTCGTGAACCCCAGCAGTCCTGTCAGTATGTGACTTTGGAGAAACCCAAGCAATCAGCAGAGCTGACTTTGTCACCATATTCTCAAGATTGGAGAACCGATGGTCTGGGGGCTGCTCCATAGCTGTTGCGCAGATATTAGGAAAGAGTCTGAGCTCACTCCTTACATGAAAGATAACTCTGGATGACCAGGCTAGCCTCAAAACCACTGATCCTTTGCAAGTTTTGAGATTACAGGTGTGGGCCACCACTCTAGATGATTAAACCTGGGCCTGGGTCACATCATGCTAGACAGTGGCACTTGCCTGTAATCCCAGGGAGGCCGAGGGATGCGATCTCTGTGAGTTCCAAGCCAGCCAGGTCCACATAATGAGTTCAAGGCAGGCAGGGCTGCACAGTAAGGTCCTGTTTGAAAACATTTTAAGCTTATTTGATTTATTTATGTGTGTGTGTGAGTGTGGGTTTGTGTAGAAGTCAGCAGACAGCTTTCGGAATCGGCTGTCCCCTTCCACCTTGTTGAAACAGGGGCTCTTGTTTCTGCCATGTTTGCTCCCTCATAAGACGCTGTGAGTACAGATGCGTGCCAGCTTTTTTACGTGTTCAGGGATCAAACTCAGGTTTGTATGCAGTCAGAGTTTTTACCTAACAAGCCACCTTGCTGACATTGTCCCCATGCGGTCCCTTCTCTTTTCCTTTCTCTGTAGTGGGAGCTGAACCTAGGGCCTCACAGTGTCCCGTTTCCCCTCTGAGGAGGTAAGACTCCATCTATAACCTATCTATAACATATGTGCACAAATACTCATTTGTCTCACGACTTACAGCAAGGACAGGGGATGGAGAAGGGATGAGAAAGCCATCTGTCATCGGGCACTCTGGTGTATGTCTCTGATTTCTGCATTTGAGAGGCAGAGGTAGGGGGATCTCAGTGAGTTCAAGGTCAGCCTGGTCTACAAAGGGAGCTCCAGGACAGCAAGAGCTGTTACACAGAGAAACTCTGTCTAAAAAAATACCCCCCCCCCAAAACAACAACAACAACAAAAAAGCTGGTCATGGTGGCACACGCCTGTATTCCCAGCACTCTGGGAGGCAGACTCAGATGGATCTCTGCGAGTTCAAGGCCAGCCTGCTCTACAAAGTTGAGTCCAGTACAGCCAAGGCTACACAGAGAAACCCTGTCTTGAAAAACCAAAAAAATAAAAAACAAGAAGAGGAAAAAAATGGTCATTCATGTAGCAAATAGTGTGTTCCTTTCACTAGTACAGCCTCCCAATTCTCTGGTTAGTCCTGAATCTCACAGGAGTTGAACAGGTCGGGCCTGGGGAAATAGGGTCAGGGTCTAGACCCTGTACCTCTGTACCTCTGCCCATGCCAGCCCCTTCATTGCTACAGAGCACAGGCCCATCTCCTTCTGCTTGTCCCAGTGTAGGCAATGGAGATTCATCTCTTTCCTACGGTGGATACTGAATCTAGTGACTGCTATGCAAACTGGCTCAAGCATCAGGGAAAGCTGTGGATTCAACTTTGTAAATTTTTTATACTTTGTAAACCGTCAGGGCAGGAAAATGGCCAGGGCCCCATGTAAGGAGCTCAGCAGCCAGCTCCTCTCCCCCAGACTTCCCTAACAGGCCTACAGGTCTGTTTTCTTAGGCGAGTAACTGTCATTCCCAGCCCCCAGGTAGGAGAGTGCCCAGATCCCACCCTACAAGAAAGATCCCACCAATCCCTGAGCTCCCCCAAGATCAGGACTTGAAAGCCCACCAATCCTCGCCCTGGGAATCTCTGCCCTGAAAAATCTCCATCCCCTAAGAAATTCTACGTAAGCCCTGCCTACTGTTCAGTTCCCTGCTGTCTTCTCCCTGGAGCAGAGGCAGCCACTCCTGGACTCTTCCCTCCAAACCCTGGATTAGGCAGGGTTTGTTGGAGGGCCCAATAAATTTCCTTTAGGAGATTGGCTGTCTGGTGTACAGGACTCTCATGGGAAGAAGCAAAGAAGTGGAGCAGGGCCCAGGCTCCTGAGCCCCTTAGCTCAGCTGGGGATACCCTCGCCTGGGAGCTCCAACTCTGAAGAGGAGGAGCTGGGAGGTGGAGCTGATACACTGTAGCACTCCAGCTCAGCTGCCGACGTCCTCCCTCCCGGCTGCGACTCTTCTACTGAGGAGGCTTCCTTTCAGAGCTGCGTGGTTCCTGGGCTCCAGAGTCCCAAGGTACCTTTTCATCTAAGCAGGGACGCCAATAGTGACTGGTGTTGAAGGATGGCTCTGTGACGGTGACATCTGGGTCCTAGGTTGGCTCGTTCTCTGGAGCGTCACTGCTCTGATTATATCCCCTTCCTCCCTCATTCCACCAGCCTGGGTTATTCCCCAGCAGGGCTTGGGGAGGCGGGCTGGATTCAAATGTTCTGTCTTCTCACTTAGCAGCAATTTCCCAACTTCCCGCTGTTTTAGGTCAATAGGCATTTACCAAGGGGCCCAATTTCATAAGACAACCTACTGTGCAAAGTAAAGGAGCAGCCACGCAGACCACAGGCTTCTGTGCTCCAAGGGAGCAGGGCTGCTCTTCCGGGAAGGCATACTTGGCTGTTCTTTCACTCTCATCTGAGCCCTGTGCCCTCATTCTAGCTTCTTCCCTCATTCTTCAGCTTCCCTCCCCAAACTGGCTCATTTGCCCCTCCCCACAGTGGGCTGGAACAGGTGGCACCAAGCCCAAGCCAAAATCAGCTGGGCACAGCACACACAGTTGGCTTTGTTCCCCTCAGTCTGTGCTTTCATCTTGTTCTTTCACTTTCCCAACAGAATCTCCACTTCCCTTTGAGGTCGCATTCTCTCTCCAGCCCCCAGGCTTCTGCCCCCATTTCTCTCCGAATCAGCTAGCCACAGACAGCCAAAATGCGGAGGGCAATGTCCAGCTCAAAGCGGCACTTGTCTTTGTGACAACACCCTCCTATCCCTTGGAAACCATGCCTCCCTTTGTGACTATGCCCTTCGTTTCTCCTCAGGCCTCTCAGATAGCCAGTCTTCTGGTTGTCCCTTACCAAGTCATTGGTCTCTTCAGAGTTAGATTGTAGTGTCTCCTTGTCCTTCCTGGTCCTGAATGACCTGTGCATAGTTCAGAATCTACTCGTACCACTCAGAGCAGTACTTCCAGCCCTGGGGAGGCTGAGGCAGGAAGAGCAAGAGTTTGAGGCTGGAGCTGAAGAGATGGTTCACATGGAGAAGACCATGGAGAACCTGAGTTTGGATCCCCAGTATCCATGTAAGAGGCTGGCGCAGTGGGACGCACTTGTAATCCCAGAGCTGGGGAGGAAGAGACAGAAGGATTCTGGGGGCTTGCTGGGCAGCTAATCAAGCTGAATGGCAAAGATTCGGATTCAGTGAGGACTCCTGTCTCAAAATAAAAAGTAGAGAAGATCTGAAGATTTCTTGACACTGACCTCTGGCCTCTCCACACACATGAACACACACTCATTTGCAACTGAACACAACTAACCTCTCCCCACCCCCAACACACACATATGCTCAATGAGGCTACATAGCAAGACCTTATCTTGCATACAAATTTAAAGGTTTTATTTTCTGGATGGATGTCTTTGCGGCGATGGCGTTTCTTCTGCTTGCAGATCCCTGTTGAGGACTAGAGAAACTGGTGCACGTGAACACCAACCACAGGTAAAGTGTGGTGTCACTCAATTCTGACTCCCAGGTACTGTTCCCCTTTAGGGCTCAGCCCACCTATGCAGTCCTCACAGAACAGCCAAGGCTGCTCCTTTCCAGACACCAGTCCGGTCATGGTAGGAACTTCTCATTGTTATTAAGATCAGGGCCAACCAAGATCGGGGGCCGTGGCCTATTTAGGCTGGGCAAGGTCCAGGCTGGAGCTACACCTTCACCTGTCACTGGACCCCTCCGCCACAGGTGTAATCCTCTTGAAGATAAGCCACCTGACCTGCTCACCTCTCCCTCTTCGGTGGAGCCAACTTCAAGTTGTGATGATGTCAATATTTTGTCATTGTTTTGAGGCGGGGTCTTATGTAGCTCAGGCCGGTCTTAGACTCAGTATGTGGCCAAGGATAACCCTGACTCTCTGACCCTCCGGCCATCACTTCCTGGGTGTTTGGATTACAGGTATGTCTACTAAATTAAAGGTGTAGAAACCTGAGGGCCTTGATGATGTCACCTAGCTGTCGGGTAGCAGGGTTCATCTCCAGGACTGATCTAGAACAAGCCAAAGCACACTTGAGGAGTTATGGAATCCTCCCTGAGTAACCTCAGCCTAGGAAGATGTCTGGCTCATGTCCAACCCCTGTACTTACTCACACTGTACTGACATTGCTCTCTGGACGTCTGCAGAACCCGCTAAAGCTTTTTTATAACGCTGGCCTGTGTGCCTATCTATTTCTCTGCCCTTTGACCCTGACCTTCAGGAGGACAGATACTGCAAATTTGGTTTCTGCATTTTCATCTGCTTCAGAAGCAGGTACTGTATACATGAGTGTGCTCATGGGCCAGCCAGGAAAAATGTTTGTTCATTGAAAAAAAAAATTTTTTTTTGAGACAAGGTCTTACTGTGCAGCCCTGGCTTGCCTGGAATTTGCTATGTAGACCAGGATGGCCTCAAAATAACAAAGATCTATAGTTAGAGTTACAGACATTTGTGAGCTGCCATGTGGGTTCTGGGAATTGAACCAGGGTCCTCTGGAAGAGCAGCCAGTGCTCTTACCTACTGAGCCATCTCTCCAGGCTCTATTTCCAAAATCTTTTTCTTGACCCAATATCCCCTGTGCTTATCCATGCATGAGAATGATGTTTTATAATAACAAAAGCCACCATCCACAATGGTGGTGGACATTTAGTCTCAATCTTTAGTCCTTTAAAAAAAATTTATTATGTATACAGTATTCTGTCTGAATGTACACCTGCATGCCAGAGGAGGGTACCAGATCTCACCATAGATGGTTGTGAGTCCCATGTGGTTGGTGGGAATTTAACTCAGAACCTCTGGGAGAGTAGTGCTCTTTACCTCTGAGCCATCTCTCCAGCCCAACCTTTAGTCCTTTGAAACAGTCTTTTTTTTTTTTTTTTTTGACCCCTTCAGGCCGGAGGGTGGACCCCAGGACCATGTCCATGCTAGGCTATGTTTAGCTGGCTCTTGAAGCTGTACTTTGTATCACCTTCTATAATGCACAGTCAAGCAAGGCTCAGGAAACTTAGTTCATTCCACCACCAGCCCAGAGGCCCCTTCCAAATCGACAGACCCCATCGCCCTGGCCCAGGACCTTCAACCTTTTGGTTCATTCATTCACAAGGAAATTCCTACTGTATGTGAATCTGTGCCCTGGGTAAATGAATGTTCGTTCTGTAGGAACCTGCTACCTTCCTTATGATGTACAGTGATGGCTATGTCAACCCTGTACTAAGTCCAGAGGATCCCAGAGTGCCCGTGTTCTAGACAACCCAACAGAACCTTGAGGTTTGCATCAGCGGCTCTGCTGCGGGTGTCTGGCCTCCAAAGCACCAGAGCGACATGTGGGTGCTAGCTGACACTTTACTGCATGGGGCAGGGATGGGGTGGGTGTGGAAAGGCCAGTGAATCTGGAAAAGACAACCCCAACACCCCGGATGACTCAGTGTGTGTGTGGGATAGCCTAAGGTCTCCCCCCAAAAGGTCTCCTTGTCCTTCGCTGTTAGAAAACCGTTCTACTGATGAGGCGGTCCGGAGGGATATGAATGTTACCTGGTCTTCCTGCTGAAAATGTCGCCAACGAGATGTGGGTCACAAAATTGTTTCTTTAAAAAGCAAAGTAGGGCGTCCTAGAAGAACGGAAAGTCTCACGCTTCGGAGAAAGGCTGAGTTTGGGATCTGCTGTGCCCCTCTGCCTGGCTCAGCCCTCAGTGCAAATGACCCAGCCTCTCCGGGCCTCGATTTCCCCATCTGTAAAAATGGAATCATGAAGTCTACCAAACAGGGCTGGGTTGGACAAAACGCGGCGTCAAGTGTCCAGTTCAGCTTCATGAAGGCAGCTCCAGGCGTCAGCCTAGTTTGAGTGGTAATTGCTGCATTAACTTGTCATCTTACCAGTCAAAACTGGGGCGAGGGCAGATCCCTAAACTCCTGAACTTCCAAATGTGTCCAGGACCCCACGCACGCTCGACGCTGGAAGCGGGTGGAGGGCGAGGATTCGCAGCCCCTCAGCGCACCGCTCACTCCAAGCCCGTCTTAGGAGGCGGGGCCCGCGGGGGCGGTTGGTGACGTCACTCAGGAGGCGGGGCTGCGTCTGTGGGAGGAGCCCAGGGTGGGCAGGGCCGGACTAAGTCTCCGGCTCCGCCTCAGGAGGGACGCTACGGAGGGGCCGACCGGAAGTCCTTCCGCCTCCGCCCGCCTCCGCGCTCACTGCCGATTCTCCGTCGCCCCGTGAGCGAGGTCGTGCCCCGGAAGTGAAGGGGCCATGTTGCTGGGTGACCCCGAGAGAGGTATTGGGAGAGTGGCGACTCCTGAGCAGAGGTAGCGCGTGGCCCGCGGGTGAGTGAGGGAGCGAATGAGGGCGGCTGGGGGTCGCTCGCTTGCCCTCGGGCCGGTCGGGGCTACCGGCTCCCCTTGGAGCCTCCAAGCTCTGCCCCGCCCCGCCTCAGACTTGGGTTAAGTCACCGAGCCTCCCTGGCCCTGGGGTCTGCGTCCCCTGCCCTGCGGTAGTGGTACCGTGACCGGGGCCTATAGCTGGTAGCTCAGCTGCCTTGTTCCAGCCCTGCGTGACGCTCTCCTTCTAGCCCTTCGTAGTTTTTCTGCATCGTTTGCATCACGGAAGACCCTCAGGGCCAAGGGGGAGCTGCTCTACAGTTGAGAAAAAAAAAGGGACAGAACGGTGGCTTGACCAGGTTCGCGCTGGAAGTTAGCGAGGTCAGAGATTGATTGCTCCTGTCTTGGTGCCCAAAGTCCAGATACATAGACATTTTCATCCAAATACTCCCTCCACCCCTCAGTCACATTTAGGCTCGTACACGTAAGGATGTCGGGAGAATTCCTTCTTTCAACATAATCTTGAGTCTGGTGTGCACTGGACACTGTTTTAGAAAAGTTTGCAGAACACCTGGAAGTGCTGCACACATGTTAAGACCCCCTCATTCCAGCGAGGTAGGATCTGGATTGGTGGGGCCAGTTGGCAAGTTACTTCCTTAGGAAGTGTGTGTCGTGTACCTGGTGCACACCTTTGATCTCAGCTCTCAGGAGGGAGATGCAGGTGTTTTTCTGCGTTTGGGACCAGCCTGGTTTACAGAATGAGTTCTAGGCCAGCCAGGGCTCCACACAGAGACCCTGTCTCAGAAAACCAAACCAAACCAAACCAAACCAAACCAAACCAAAACAAACCAAAACAAAACAAAAACAAAGGGGTTAGAGAGATGGCTCTGTGGTTAAGAGCACCGGTTGCTTTCCCAGAGGACCCAAGCTCTATTCCCAGCACCGATGTGGTAGCTCACTCCTGTCTTGGGATATGACACTGTTAGACTCCGAAGGTGTGTAGACAAACATGGCAGCAAAAATAGCCGTACACATAAGAAATTTTAAAAAAAGTAATTAAAACGACCACAATGACCACGAAGAAGAAAGCTTTTCAAGGTAATCCTGCTTAAATGGTGGTACGAGGATGCATCACGGCCAAATCCTTGTCTTTAAACATTCTAGGCCACACCTTCTGGTAGAAGTCCATTACAGGTGCTTTTCAGGAGAGGTTCTCAAAATAACCTTGTACAGTAGGTTCTTAATGATGACATTCTTAAGATGTCATCATTATCTCTGTTTTATTATGGGAAAGCTGATGTTAAGTGTCATGGCTGTGGGATGGTACAGCCAGGACTCAAGCTCAGGCGGTCTACTTGAACCCTGGTGAGCCATAAACTGAACATCCCCAGGAGGGGCTGTTCAGAGGTCGAAATCTGACCCCAGCCCTGCCATGAAGTCCTCGGAATGCTCTGTATCTGGCGTTAAGAACCTCTGACCCCCATAGTGCCTAACAAGCCCTGCTGTCACCAATTCTGATTCTAGACTTCTGTGTCTTCTTTTCTGTTTAGAGTGTGACGCTTAGTCCTTGTCAGTCCCCCATGGCCCCGTGGAGCCGAGAGGCGGTGCTGAGTCTGTACCGGGCTCTGCTGCGCCAAGGCCGAGAGCTTCGCTACACTGATCGAGACTTCTACTTTGCTTCCATCCGCCGTGAATTCAGGAAAAATCAGAAACTTGAGGACCTGGAGGCTCGGGAGAAGCAGCTGGAGAAGGGCCTGGTCTTCCTCCATAGCAAACTAGGAGGCCTGATTTAGGATCCTCTCTTTTCCCCTCCTACCCTAATTCCAAGAAGAAGACAAAGGTGCCTTCAGCAGATACTCCTGGCTCCCCCACCCCACCTCACAGATGCATTAGGAAGCCTCAGGTAGGGAGACCTTTAATCCTAGATGTTTCTTTTTTTCTGTGCAAGAAGCTAAGAAAGGGAAGACCTTTCTTTTATCATCAAAGTATGTCCTTTACTCCCTAAGACTCACTAATTAAAATGTAGGCTACCCAGAGAAGCCCTGTCACACAGACACGCACACACACACACACACCAAGAGAAGTGTGTCCTGTTACTGAGAAACATGGGCCTTGGATTATAAGCCCCACCAGAACAGAATTGCCATCATTTTATTTCATAGACTATTTTATATGTGAGACTATTAGAAAAGAGTGGTTAAAGTCGTTCAGTTCCAAGCGAGCGTCTCTGCTCATGTATTATCTACTCGTGGTTGTATTACACCGTGTTTCCTGAAACATGTTCATCATTACTGGATAATTGCTATAGCAATCATAATATTTGGTGCCTGCCTTTAAATCCTGGCACTGCTAACTAGTAGTGGAATACAGGGCAAGTCTCTAAACCTTCCCAGGCCTTCATTTCCTCATTAGTGAAATGGAAATAATCTCTTTAGGTTTGATGAGAATTGACCTGGACAGTGTACACATAGCACTGAATATGGTACTAGGCAGATGGAATGCTAGCCCTTGGTTTATAAATTTCAAGTTATATTTGTTTATTGTGAGTGTGGGTGCATATGACTTAGGATTCATGGTGTAGTCAGAAAATCTGTACGAAGTTGGTTTTCTCTGTCTATTTTTTGGGTTCTGGAGGTTGAACTCTGGCTTTCAGGCTCATTGGCAAGTGTCTTTATCCACTTAGCCATCTCACGGGCCCCAGCTGTATATACCCTTGAAGACGTTGTTATCAAGAAGCTCTGCTACAGCATAATGGCCATGTTTAATTCAGGAACCTTTCAGAGCTCTTTTTCTGTCTAGGCTCTGGGGATAGAGAAGAAAGATAGGGTCCATTAAGAACTTTACACTAGGGTAGGAGACATGATTCAGTAGTTATGAGCACTTGATTTTGCAGAAGATTCAGATTCCCAGATTCCCAGCACCTACAAGATGGCTCATAGCTGTCCATAACTCCAGTTTCAAGGGATAGGATGACCTCTTCTGACCTCCATAGGCACCAGGCACACTTGTGCATAGACATTGTATACAAACAAAATACACATACATAAAATTAATCTTGAAAGCAAAAAACAACCTTAGGCGAAGGAGGGGTTTAATGGGAAGTAATTCTAATATGAGCAGTGCTATGCAGGGCACAGTATAAAAAGCTATGGAGAGAGCAGGGTGTGGTGGCACACGCCTTTGATCCCATCGCTCAGGAGGCTGAGGCAGGCAGGTTGCTGTGAGATCGAGGCTAGTCTGGTCTACAAAACAATTCCAGGACAACTAGGGCTATATACAGGGAAACCCTGTCTGGAAAAAAAAGAAAAAAAAGGGGGGGGGGGCTATGAAGATAGAAATGACTCTCTCTTGGTTTGGGTGGTAGAGAGAATTATGGTTACAGAAAAAACATTTGAAGTCTGCTACAAATGAGATGCAGAAGCTTGCTGCAGTAGAGAGAAAATAAATACCTGGCGGTGAGAACTTGACTTTGTAGCCTGGTGTGGTTAGAATGGTATAAGGAGTGAGACTGGAGTTGAAATTGGACCGTGGGTGGAAGGCCATTTAATTTCCTTTTATAGAGCGCAATATCTGACTGGGGGACTATCACAACCTTTGTTTTGTTTTGTTTTGTTTTGTTTTGTTTTGTTTTTTGAGAAAGGGTTTCTCTCTGTAGCCCTGAATGTCCTGGAACTCACAGAAATTCATCTGCCTTTGCTTCTTGAGTGCTGGGATTCATGGCATGCACTACACATTGGTAATTCTAGTACTCAGAAAACTGACGTAGGAGGAGCCTTAGTTTGAAGTTAACCTGGGCAACATAGATGTTGTTTCAAAACAAGGAAAAGAAAGGCAAAGAGCGTAGCTGTGGTAGAAGGCTTGCCAGTTGGGTAGAGGGTAATGCTCACTGAGATGGAAAGCAGGAACCTGTAATGTCTTTCAGTTCTCAGCCACACTCACAGTGATTGGTAGACTGGCCTTTGGCAGTGCAGGACCAGAGTCAGGTGATGCCCTTGGAATCCTGCATCCTTGGGGAAAGGCAGTGGGTCTGAAGAAGTGTGGAGTTCCTGAAATGCATTCTGATGTTTTGATTGTGAATTGTGTTAAATCTTGCTATCAAGGAAAACATGAAAAGTTAGGTATGGCAGTACAAACCTAGTACTCAGGAAGCTGGGGGCAGAGGCCCACAACTTCAAAGTTAGCCTGGACAAGTAGTAAATTGCAGGTCAACCTAGGCTGTACAAAAGACTGTCTGGGAAAGCCTGGGTCAGGCAGTAAATTTGTTAGGTTGGGCTGAGCAACTGTATGTTATGTTCCACTGTGCTCTGTCTAGCTAGGGAACTTCGAGTCTTCACTGTCCTCACTAAGCAGAAAGATGGGTATTTTTTTTTATGTGGTTAAAGTGCACAGATCACTAGTATTATGCAACAAGTTTCCTGAATTTTTTTTTTTTTTTTTTTTTTTTTTTAAATCTGGCTGATTTGAAGCTATCTCTTAAACATAGGCTCCTCCTTGCTTGCCCTGAGGAGCCAAGCCTGACTCCTTGCCAGGGGAGCTCCTGTCTCCTGGAGGTTGAAGGCAGAAGAATCAGGGTAGATGCTGGAGGGACAGTAACCTAAATCAGGAAGGTTTAGAATAAAGACCTTGTCTCCCTGTGAGCTTGTGGCTGCTTTCTTCCAGGTCACCAGATCTGTGGTGCCACTTAGTCCTTGGAAAGGGATGAGCATATTGAATTAGATTAGCTGGGAGGCCCTTAACAAGCCTGCTCTGCTTTCCCGTTTTGATCTCAAACACAGGAGAGTTTCAGTGTTTTGAGGCTGTTTGAGCATCATCTCAAAATGTGCAATATAGCTGGACAGTCTGTTGCACCCCTCTCTGGGGGATGGAAATCTTGACTTAATGATGGCTGTCACTTGGGTTTACAGTGGGCGAAGACTTGCCTGTGGTGCTGTAACCGACGCTTTTCCTCACTACAGCCCTGTGATTTAGGCCATGAAGCAATCGTAGCTGGGGGTTAAGGGGCCCATTTGAGGTAACCCAGCACATTAGCTCAGACCCAAGGCAAGTACTTGGGTTTCAGAATTTCTGACTCTGAAAGCCATGTTTTTATTGTTTCGTTGCACCCATCTTGATCTTTCGAGTCATCAGCAGAGCCAAGGATCGAATAGCCCAGTGAGGCCTCTGCTGGTGTGGACTTGGAAGGAGGAGGAACCCCCTACCTGCACTTGCTTTAAAGGATGGTTTAGAGGTCTCGAATCTAGTACTTCTCCTTGTGGTAAATCTATCTGGAAAGGTTTCTCTTAAAATAGAAGCCATTTGTGGAAATGTGATAAGGAAAGTCTGCCTCCGTGAGTGTCATGTATGCCATCTTTGTCACAGTGTCAGCTAGGAGGATAGGAAGATGTCTTACCTGACCCCACATGTAACATACCGTGTTTAAATCTTCCTTGGCTTCTCTGTGCCTTTGAATATATTTTAATTAGCCAAATAGTCTCGTTATATCCCTGAACCAGAAGTGTTAATTGAAAATAAAAGGTAGAGAAGAGGAAAGCGCCGTAGTGTGAGCATACTGAGGGAAAGAGTATTTTGGATTTGACAGTGAGTCTGCTTTTTTTTTTTTTTTTTTTTTTTTTTATAGACAGGGTTTTTCTCGTGTAGCCCTGGCTGTCCTGGACTCACTTTGTAGACCAGGCTGGCCCCAAACTCACAGCCATCCTTCTGCCTCTGCCTCCCTGAGTGCTGGGATAAAGATGTGTGCCACCACTCCCAGCTAGTGAGTCTTTTTTTTCTCTCTCTTTTTTTTTTTTTTGATAAAGGCTTTCTTTGTGTAGCCTGTCTATTCTCTCTTGGAACTCATTCTGTAGATCAGGCTGGCCTTGATCTCAGAGATCCGCCTGCCTCTGCCTCCTGAGTACTGGGATTAAAGGTATGTGCCACTACTGCCTGCTATTTTTTTTTTTTTTTAATGTGGTTTCTCTTGTTCTGGGTAGTGTGTGTTACCATTGTCTGTTTGCTGCTTCCTTCTCACATTCCCAAAGCAGTGGCTAAAGAAGGAAGACTCTGTTTTCCTGTCAACAGCATATTATAAAAGTTGGGAGGCTTGTACTGTATGATGGGATACTTTACTGCAGCAGGAAAACAGGATTGATAGTCTCAGGTCTGTTGAAAGGGTTTTCTACAGCATACACGAGCATTTCTTGCCCTGTGTATCCAGGTGAGTCATTGGATATGGTACTTCCCTGTAGAGCCTGGAGTATGCAGTCTTATATTTTGCATGGAGTAACCTTGATTGTGATGGGGATGGGCATACAGGGGGTGGTTCTTATGGTCCCAGGTGGTGATGGCTGTGTTATCTTCATTCTCAGGTGAGCAATGGCAGGCGCTGGCGAGCGCAAAGGCAAGAAGGATGACAATGGCATTGGCACGGCCATTGACTTTGTTCTCTCGAATGCCCGGCTGGTGCTGGGTGTGGGTGGAGCAGCCATGTTGGGCATTGCCACACTGGCGGTTAAGCGGGTAAGTGCATGCAGCCTGGTCCCAGGATGGGAGGTAGTGAATTGCCTCTTCAAAGTGAGCTCTCCTGAGGGAGATTCTGTCACTATGATGAGTGCTTATCTGGCAGTCTGCTTCTAGGCTTCTCCCGTAAAGCGATCACTGGAAGTGTAAAGAAATGTATCCCAGCAAGTAGATCACAGCAAAGAACCCAGCTATCCTTCTTTGATGACCTTATTTAAAATAGCAACCACACGTGTACTTCTGCTTCTTTTTCTTACTCTTATTTTAAACTATCTATCTCTATCAGCATACTCTGGGCAGACGC